GGAAGGGCCGGCGGGCTTTCCTTCCGACCAATCAAATCGTTTGAAGGGAAGGCCGGCGGGCTGTCCTTGACATGTCCCTGACACAGCGGACTGCGGGTGTAGTATAGAGTGAGTGTAGCGTGCATACTGTGTTTCACCACACATTAGGCTACAGTTTTTCTCGATTGCTAACACTAAAATTATACATAAAATTATACATAAAGCACAATTATTTTAACTGACACTCAAAGAGCAAAACATCGGCTCAAATCTCCAAAACTCTAAACACGTTTTCAGCTTCTCACACAATTTGCAAATCAACATGGCACTTTTTGCAAACCACTGCACACGTTTCCCCACGTAAGACACAGGAATCTGACATGAAGTCACATGTTAGCAGGTTTCAAACACTGATATTCAAAATGCCTCACACATGGACCAATGATCAAGAAACACGTTCCACCTGACCAAACACCTGATGGCATAATTGTTGGCTCATCAATCAGGATGTTAGCACTATAAAAAGACCACAGGTGAGTACTTTCTTACAGCAACAATGAGAGCCAACATGGAAGGAAGAGGAAGAGCTGGGCTGAGAGTGAGAGGAGGAAGAGGTGGGTGAGAGTGAGAGAAGGAAGAATGAGAGGTAGAGGTAGAGCTGGAGGGAGAGGACATGGACAAAGAAGAATACTCTCTAATGAAATGAAATGTTATCAACCATGGTTTGTCGATGAGGGGCTGGACAGAGGGTTCAGCCTAATCTAAACCGATGAACTGTTGCCTCTGTAATCCGGACACTTAGACTTGAAAACAGTCTAGTTACCAGTGTTCAGCTCTGCATAACTCATGATATATCAGTGCTTATATCTGTTGTGTGAAACGTATTTACTTCATTACTGTAACTGAATTGTTAGCATGTTGTATACTATAACTGTACAAAAATCCTGCACAATTTACTATTATGCAACACAGACACTGACCAACCACTATATATTTGTTGTTTATCTGAAGGACTGAGAAACAAAGAGGTCTAGGTGGAAGGCTAAGGATTATCAACGAGGCACAGGAAGCAGCAGTTACAAACTGGGTTTTTGCAAACAATGCCATCTCACTTAGAGAGATCCGAAGCAGAGTAACTATGTGCTGAGATGCATGTTGCACAATGTTATCTTTGAATAAAATATGATTTTTTCCAACAACTCATTTGTATTTCTTCATTTACTGTATTTCTGTATACTCAAGCAATCTTTCTCTGCAGAAACCTCTATGTACAGAGCATAGCCCATAAAAGATGAAAGTGCTCAGCAGTGTGTAATTGGGTGGTAAAACCATCTAGTATTAAAAATGAAGTGTGTTATGTTTGGTGCTAAAGTTTGCATTTGGTAAGTGTTTATGTAGTTTTGAGGGCATTTCTTCATTTAGCAGGAGAAATTAGGTGTTTTTCACTTTGGGTGTGTGGTTTTGTGAATTGTGTTTAGTGTTCTGAGAAACTGAGCAAATAATAAAAAAATGTGTGTTAGCAATCGAGAAAAACTGTAATGTAAGTAATGTGCTGATTGAGTTTTGTGGTTAAAATGGAACTTTCCAACATGTTGAGCCCTATCCAAGTATGGTGACATGTCCCCTTTCCTAAAGCAGTGTTTTCTCTGCGTGTTCAATGTGTTCTCGCAGCTTTGTGCTGTGTATTTATGTATTCTTAGGTGGTGGTGCTTGTTTCCTGCAGATAAGACAAAGTGACAGCGGACCGGGCAGAGGTATTTACCCTGTACTCCTGGATGATACCATTCTGCATCTCGCTGGGGGGGGGCTCCCAGGAGACGCTGATGTTGGAGCTGTTGCTTAGCTTCACCGTCACCACGGTAACAGATCTCGGTGGGGCACTGGGGACTGTGAGAGGCAGAATTTGGAGTGAGTACACACATGACAGTGGATAAAGGGAGGACATGTAAAACACAAGACAAGAAACATGAAAGAGCTGTATCAGATAGGGAAATTAATTATTTCTTAAAAAAGTTAGTGATAGTTTATTTTCCCCAGACTAAGCTTCTCGGGTCGATCCAAAGTGCTGATGGCGTAAAATATGTGCTCCCTTGTTTTTAATCTTGAGTTTGTATCAGCTCATATAACCCTGATAAAAAACCTCAGGCTGCAGAAATAGCAGTGTGTGGAGGGCGAATTGAATGAAAAAAGAATCAATATAAATGAACCCAGAAGTGCGGAGGATATAAAATTAACCGCCAAGTGAGATAACATTACTGAGATTAATGTGGTGTCAGACAGGCTAATAAACGTCCGATTCCAAGGCCCCGCAATGTCAAAGAAGTCAACCTTAGTTTATTTAAAGAGGCTTTCTGTGCATCTCTTTCAGAAGCCACAAGATGTATCACCTTCTTCTGTGGTTCGAACCAGTAACGTCCGACTGTCCTTTCCCTGGAAGTCATCGAAATATGGACGGATCTTTATCTCGTGCTCGGTTCCTTTGAGCAGGTTGGTGAGAGTGGTGCTGCGTTCAGAGGGGGAGTTGATATCCTGCAGGAGCCAGGACCCCCCGCTGGGCCGGTAGAAGAGCCGGTAGCCCTGCACGTACTGAGACTGACGGTCCACCTGAGGAGTGGACAGAGGGGGACATTAGAGAAAGATAAGAGGAAGGAGACGTTTAGGAAACATCTGGAGCATGGACTGGAAACAAAAGGAGAGCTCTACCTGATGGCAGACACTGAAGGTTTATTGGAAGTTACGGCCGGAGAGACGACAAAAACATTTGCAGCAGCGAAGTGAAAACCCTCATGCCCAACCAACTCTGAAGATCTCTCACCCAGCCTCATGTATTTAGCTAGTTTGAAATAAATGTCAGCAGGAATAGACATAACAATCAAAGCACTCTGGCTCCTAGCTAAGAGAATATTTTCCAAAGTGTAGACAATTCTCCGATAAGATGGACTACTTAAAAAAACATTCTAATTTGGGATCAATAAAGTATATCTTATCTTAGATGTCCCTAGAGCCAGCAAATATCCCGTATCAAACTATGCCTGACCCACAATGAAAGGACGGAAACACTGACTTTAATGAAATGTATTATGTCTGATTTCACATAACTCTATTAGGTTAGTTGAAAGCAATAATATTAAGTTACAAAATATTAGATTCAACTTAATTATGCGTTCCACTAACCTAAAACCTCTCTCAGTGTACAACAAGCAATAATAAGGAGACAAAGTGGCACTCCCATGCGTGCTCTGCACGGAGAGTCGAGGAGAGTAGAAAGTGATAAACTAGGTGAAAGGTCTGGGCATATGTCAAATATAATCCTCAACAGGAGAAATGGGTAAAATGTGTCCATTCTGAACCTCCCAAGTGTCCTTCCTTAAAATAAAACAAAGCGCCACTCACGGTCCAGGACACTCTGATGGAGGACGGCGTCAGGGTCACGGGCTCCTGCAGCTGGACGGCCACCTCCCCCAGCTCCCTCTGCACCTGCCTGTGGTCCACGCCCTGCCCCGTGGGACTCACATCTGTGGAAACACTCATGTTCACTCCTCTGCTACAGTTCCCTTTGTGAGTCATGTTCTACCTGAGAGTGCAGAGTCTGCAGACTGACCTTGGGTCCTGACGGGCTCAGAGATGGGGCTGGGGTCGCTCAGGCCGTAGGCGTTCACCGCTCGAACGATGAACAGGTAGATGGTGTTGGGGAGGAGGCCGGTGATGGTGTGTGTTTCAATCTTCACCATGTCGGCTACAGTCTGCCAGGTGCTGCCTGCTGATTGGCTGATGAGGGAGGGAAGAAACAACAGAGGATCAGTTCGGGAACTTTACCGACCAGCTGCTCGCCGTTACAATAAAGTCTCCTGCGCATCAAAATGTTTCCTGAGCAAAACTCATGTCTCTGTATTCACAATCTTTACAACAGCAACAATTCACTGTACAGTTGAAGCACCTAACATAATTACTTATTTTACCTTCCTTCCAGAAATATACTTAAAAGGTACATTTTTTTATGGAAATAACTTTTAGGCCAAATTTTGCTCAAACTGTGACTATATCCTGACAGTAGTGCATGGAACAGATAATCTACTCCTAATGGTATTAGCAATATTCCAGCACAAACAATCAGAACGTTTTTCCTCTGCTGTGATTGGTAGTTTTCCACCAAGCAAGCTGAAGTTATCAACTGATTTCTAAAGTATAACAGGAAAATTAATGAATGCAGACATGTGACTATTATACTTAATATAACAAACGACAAAAGCTGGTTGAGGTGAAGTGCAATATTTGCCTTAAATGTAAAGAATTAGAAATACTCAAGTAAGATACATTTACATGAAATGTCTAAAATCTGAGTCTGCTATTCTGGAGAAACATGTTGATATTTGAACTCAAAACCCAAACTAATACATGCGTCCTTTCACTTCAGATCGTAAGCATGTGTTGGATCTACATCTCGTTCCCTCCCACCACTCTCCTCCTCATCCATCCGTCCTCTCCCCTGTCCTAGCTGGGAGAGGTTTGTGTGGATCGATCTGAGACATTTCCCCCCATTTACAGAGACAGAACTGTGTGTGAGCACTGGCTTCTTTGCAGGGCCCACAGAACAGAGAGCTAGTGAACCGTATGAAATATTTGGAAAAAAAAGGTTTCCTGGATTACTGTCGTTGACTCCCCCGTACTTAACTTGTAAATGTTAATGTAGACTTCCTCTAATATGATGAGGGCAAAGTCACTCAGAACCAACACGTTTGTGCTCACTAGAAGATCTGTGAATAATACAATGTGCAGTCCTGTTGAATAATGTAATGAGGCCTGTTAGGAGGAACAGCTGCCAGTAGAAATAAGGGCATGTTCTCAGCCTTGTGGCACTCCCCAGGTGCTTTAACCCCCCCACACCCTTCAACCCCCTTCCCCAGTCCCTTCCTTTTTCTCTGTGAATTGATTGTCACCTTGGCAGAGCGGCAGTCACAGATGCCTCTTCAACCATTTGTTTGACACATTTAGATTTTCCCCAAGGGTACTGTGCAGGTTCCTCTTGAACTAGCTCTGTGCTAAACTGCACAATTAGACCAAAGAAGGAAACCACTAGAATGACTAATACTCATCTCATTTTGCGTGTGTGTTTTAATTAATTGCAGGCTATATTCAAGGTTACTCTGTGGAGGAGATGCTCAGAGAGAGTTCACAAACAAGGCTGTGGCCTACTGGGAGAATAGCACGCACGCACGCACGCACGCATTTCTCTAAGTGCACATCGAGGACCGAGCATCGAGCGTCGTGGAGGCTCTCTGGAGGAGCTATAACCGAGGATACACTGATGGGTCCTCCACGGATGCATTTCCGGCAACAGTGATGTTTAAAAGAGTTGTGACGCACGCCGGACTTATCTCAGCCAATTACAGCTCTGCATGCATCCCCTGGATATTACTTTATTTTATTGTAGGTTTGTGTGTTGTACAGTGCGTAGATGCGGCGGACAGACGGGTCTCAGTTGGTTTGGTGTACTATGCTTATTTTTAATACTTGTAAATACAACTTTTGGCCCGTAAAACCTCAGTAAATGAAATAAACAATGTGTTTAACAATTACTATTTTAATTTTATATTTTCATCTTATCACAAAGTAGAGGTAAGAATACATCCATCCTCTCTCTGCAGCTTCATGTCTTCTATTATTATAACTTTGATAATTGAGACAGAGGAAATCAATCATGTTATTTAACATCACCAGCAGTAACACAAATATCAGCAAAAGTGTGTTTATGGAGTTGTTTATTTGTATTATATGTGCAGCAAGTATATATAAGCAGCTGTTTGGGGAATCAGACAGACTCAAGCTATATCTATTAAAAGAAAAGACACAGAAAAAAATCAAATTCTGAAACTAAGGCACAAGTCTGTAGGACGGCAGTAAGCAGAGGTCTGGGTGGAGGATGTTCCTGATCGCCGTTTTGCTTTCTCCAGCACCGCGGGGTGTCCAGGTGGATGGCAGCTCTGTCCTGATGATCCGCTGGGGTTAGGGGTCCTTCTCCAGCACCTTGGGGTTTCCAGGTGGATGGCAGCTCTGTCCTGATGATCCGCTGTGCACTTTTCAGATTAGGGGTCCTTCCTCAGCAGATCCATTTCTCCAGGATAGTCCTAATTACAGAGAAAAACAAGACAACAATACAAAAGTGAATTAATCATATTAAACACAGGGTTGCAAAAGTATTATTGCAACATTTAACTCTTAAGCATTTCAGACAAACAATCCTTAAAGGATCATTTAAAATGATGTACTGTTTTGGTTTTTAAAAAACTAGAGAGAATAAGTGACACTCACACGTGCATCCCTTTGACAGCACTGCACAAACTAATATTAAGCTAAAGGCTGCTGTCTATTTTTGATTGTCTTATTATTATTATTATTATTATTATTATTATTATTATGGGATTAGGATCAATTACATAAACTTTAACCTAAATAAAAGATGATCAAATCTGGTGGAAATATCTAAAATAGGCTTTTTTTTGCCCTACCTCAAAGCAGCATGAGCTGAATACAAAGGTTGTAATGTTGTCCCAAAGTTTAATAAACAGTAAAACATTGCAACATGTCAGAGAAATAAATAAAGCAAACAGCAGCTACACGTCAGGGTAGCATTTTATAAATCCCACGTATACTGGTCTAAATGTTTTCACTTTGGTCTATTTATGTAATATGAACTATAACTTATCTATAACAGAGCCAATTTCTCTGTATGACTTTAGTAAACTTCTGAATTGAATTAAAAATAAGTGTAAACAACAGTGCAGTACGTCCAGGTAGCTAGTTAGCACCACTAACTTCACGTATTTATCCATATTATTTAACGAAAATTTACGTTTTAATGCCACTTGGGTTTGACGTGTGTGACATTACTTAATTTAAAGTAAGTTGAAACCCAATACTCACATTTATTAGTGATTCCTCCGCTTGCTGCTGCTTTTAAATCCACTCTGCTGGGGAGACCGGACCGCCATTTCATTTGAAAAAAACTCGGGTTGCGTTCGGATACTGGATAGTTTAAAAATCAGCTCCTAAGTTAAGGGATAGTGGATAGGAGAATTCAAAAGGACTTAGGAGAAGAGACTGCGGTACTTTAGAGAATCCGAATGCACTTTCACTATCCGACGTGTTTATGATGCGCCAGCGGACGTCATTGTGTGCGTCTGCTGCTGTGGGGAAACTATGGAAATTACAGTTTTCTATACAACGGACTACAAAATGGATGTTTAATAAGAATGACGGACTCATCTAGACACTCTGCACCATGCTCTGATGCTGTTGCTTTATGCTTTATGAACAACAGAGAAACATATTCTTCATGACCAAAATTGGAATTGAAATAAAAAATGAAAGTGAAACTTATGCTCGTCACCCTCTCCCTCCGGTCCACATTAATACAAATGATCCCAATAGAGAACCGCAGTGACGCGTCGTAAAACCCGGAAGTAATTTAGCATTTTTGGCACTTCCGGTTCCTTCCTCAAAAAGCAATGCATTTTTTCCATAGGGTTTTGGAAAATAGCTCGAAATAAGGTCTGTGGTTGACACAAATTTAAGAGTTAATTGACATTTTGTTCTACGACATTAAATACATCAGCANACAGTTTTTCTCGATTGCTAACACACTAAAGTTATACATGAAGCACAATTATTTTAGTTTTGGAGATTTGAGCCGTTGTTTTGCTCTTTGAATGTCAGTTAAAATAATTGTGCTTCATGTATAACTTTAGTGTGTTAGCAATCGAGAAAAACTGTAAGGCAATGTTTTGTAATACATTTAGTCTTAAATGTTATGGTTTTATATGCAAATTATGTTATTATATATTATTATATTAAATTATATTAAATGCAACTATAAAAAAATGTTTAAAAAATGTAAATGTTATATGACTCTAATATATGATAAATATATGAAAAATGCCCTATCTTAAAACCTTCAGAATAGTGTTAGTTGTTTTGAGGAATCAGCCTTTACAGATGTGTATTGTAAAATTCCATAAAAGTTAAAAGAATGTCAGATGAATAGTTTAACATGAACTAATAGACATTACTATTAAAGTTCAATGAAAGACAATTATCGTTTGAAGTCTTATGAAGTTGTATTTGAAAATATGCAAATAACAAATTTTATAATGCACTTAAATGAAACACCTAAATGTGTTCTTTTGAAGTTTTTTTATATTTTTATATTTATTTGAATATAAGCAGCAAGACAAAAACTGTTACCCGGTTGAATTGCCCAGTACAGAAAGATTCATGTGTCATCCTGAAGTGTCTCGCCTTAATGTTCACATTTTAAGAATAAGAGGATTGATTCAATTAAATTCAAACTACTCACAAATAATGGAGCTGGGGGTTATTAGACAGTCACCTGAGAATTCTGTCTCTAGATGACCTTAATATTTAGTTCATTCTGGCTCCATGCAGGGCAACAGAAATCCTGAGGCTGTGTTTAAGACTTCAGAACTCACTGGTTAGTGGTCAGGTTCAATCTCTACTGTACATCCAACACAGTGAATATCTGAGTGCACAGCACACTGATGAAATATTGCAACATTGTTAGTGATTTCATCAGGGAATAAATGCAAATACAGTTTCAGCTTGATCTCATACACTAATACATTTAAAAGAGAATTGAGCAGAACAAATATATCCCGGCCATCTCCCTGTGTCCCTCAGGTTTGGTGTGTGGGCAGCGGCGGAGACAACCAGACGCGGTACTACATCAACCGGACGGTGGACGGGGACACTCTGTCCACGGCACTGAGGGGCCTGGTGCCCGGCGTGCTCTACCAGCTGGAGGTCGCGGCGGTGACCAGCGCCGGGGTGGGGGCCCGCAGCCAGCCACTGTCCGTGCTCATCAGTGAGTCCACCACAACAACAGCTGCAGGAATAACAGTTTCATATCTCAACAACTTTCGGAGGGATTGTCATGACATTCTGTACACACAATCAATGTCCCCAGAGGATGAATCCTGAGGGTTTCGGAATCAGAAATCATTTCATTTTCCCCCACAGCAGGGAAATGTACATTGTTACAGCAAAGGGACAGAGCAGATAAAAGACAACAATAAAAACAGTAGTCTAACATTTTAATTAACGAGGCAATCATACTTTAATAAAATCAGATAAAGACATAGCCATGGTATAAATACAAAAAATAGCAATATTTTATTTTATTTTTGGTGTGTTGGTTTTATTATGTATGAATTTTGATATGTATCTGTCAATGTGTCTTTGCATACATTTTAAAGGCACTATATCAATCAAATGTATTATTATTATTATTAGAAAAAAGTAAGCAGAAATATATATATATATATAAGTATTGAAGGAGCAGCCTGTAATGTCATTTTTGACTGTAAAATAAATATGAGTCTGTTATAGTCATGAACAGTGCTAAACCTTCTTGTTTATTATCCAATCCCTTTATTAGCACTTCTATGCAGAATAAAAGAGATTCACATCTGTTAGAAAAATATCACTCGTCACCGGCTTGATCTTCAATATTAGGATACATGTATTTATTATCCCTCCAAGAATGGAAGTAGTCATCACACACAGGGCTGCGTGGGACGAATAGTTCCCAGAACAGTGTCCTTCAGATGCTTATATACAAGAGAGGGTGTTACAGTCAACAAGATGGAAGAACACTGGTTCAAAGCAGTATTCTGACATTAGTTCAGAATGATTAGCAAAGGCCTGCGTAAGCAACACACATGACAGTCATATGCCTATCTCTCTAGGCAGGGCTGTGTCATCATGCCAATCTTAGGAGCATAGCTAGGAGCATAGCTATCATAACTTCAACACAGTGTCTCATGAGCGTCATCCACGTAGTCATACATCCGGCTAGTACACAGCTACGTAGGGCCTCTGTTATCATGTGCTACACTGATATAGAAGGAACATTCAGTATTTTCCCAACAACATCATATTTGAACATGCTAACACTCTACACAAAGGTCATCAATAAAGTTAATCGTAAACCTGCTAAATGTTAATAATGTTGAAGTTTGCATTTAGTTTCTGTGCCCAAGTAACAAACTCTCTGGTTTGTATCATATTATATAATGTCTCTACGGCTCTAGGCTCAATCATATACAATAGGGTTTGATTGATGTTTAACTTTATGCACTAGGTTTTTATTGGTTTGGTTAAAAGACATTGAAGCACAACAGATCAACAAAGAAGATGATGTATGATCTGTAGTTCCCCTTAGTTGAGTTGATCTGATTTGTCGTCTCGTTTCTTCCCCCAGAGCTGCCAGCTGAAGCGCCCTCTGCTCCAGGCGGGGGGGGCCCCAGCGACGGCAGCGAGGAGAGCAGCGTGAGTCTGGCGGAGCAGATTACCGACGTGGTGAAGCAGCCGGCTTTCATCGCGGGCATCGGGGGGGCCTGCTGGGTCATCCTCATGGGCTTCAGCGTCTGGATCTACTGCCGCCGCAAGAAGAGGAAGGAGCTGAGCCACTACACCGCCTCCTTCAACTACACCCCCGCAGGTCAGGGCCCACATGGTGGAGGACACAGTGATGTCTTATTGTGGAAGCACTCAGATCGCAGCCCAAAGCTTTTCATACACTGAAAACACTGTAATGTTGACTCTAATTAAATGTCAACAGATTGAACTGTATTAGGTTAATTGAACCAATAATATTAACTTTGAACAAAATATATAAGGTTCAACTTATTTATATTGCTTTCAACTAACATAATACATTTAATTAAAGTCATCTTTTCAGTGTTTTTATTCTTTTAAGGCGAAAAAATTATATATTTTTTTTTAAAGGGAAAATAAACATTTAAATTGGAATGCATATTTGCACATTTCTGTGAGAGTGGGAACAGCTGATCTTGAGAATAAGCATTGTGTTTTGTAACAATAACACACACTGTAAGCAAAGGAGGCCACAAAGCTGCTTCTCATCACTCTCTTCCTCTCTGTCTCCTGCAGTTGGTTTTCCTCATGTAGAGGGAGCAGGACTCAATGGAAGGTAATCGAATAGCATCCTACAGTCCATTTATATCCTGCCATCTCTCTGTATTCTCTTTGAATTCACAGTAATAACTGGACTGATATTGTAGATGTTTCTCACTGTCAGTGACTGTTGTACTGTGACCCCCACACTAACGGAAGTCTCCTCTGCAGGCCGGGGGTTCTCGGGGGGAGCATGGGAAACTACCCGTGGCTGGCCGACTCCTGGCCCGCCACCAACCTGGTGCACAGCGGGAAGGAAGATGTCACCTGCTGCACCGCCAACCACGACACCGCCGAGAGATACTACAACGGTAGGAACAAACTATTCAGTACATGCCTGTGTTCAATTCAATTAATGTATTAACAGAAAATGTAAAAATACAACTAGAGTCATGAGACATATTGGAGATATGTGAACTGGGACACACTTATAAGCTGTCCAGAGCTGTAGCATAAGGGACTCAGACACAAAACCTATTCAAAATATATATTATATATATATTACTAACATAGAAAAAAACATCTATTACTAATACAATATTCTAAGACTAATCCAACCCTAGATACTAAATGGTCCCAAAACCAAAACAAATCAGTCTAAATAATTAAAATAGTTAAGATATATATATATATATATATATATAGTCCAGGTGCAAAAAGGTTCAAAATATGTCCAAAGCTTGAAAGCAAAAAAGGATAATTTATTCTGAAATGCATTTTGTCACCTCTATTGCCCTTGGAATGTGTCCGTTTTTATACTATACTATATAGGTGACTNTAGATACTAAATGGTCCCAAAACCAAAACAAATCAGTCTAAATAATTAAAATAGTTAAGATATATATATATATATATATATATATAAAAACGGACACATTCCAAGGGACAATAGAGGTACAAAATGCATTTCAGAATAAATTATCCTTTTTTGCTTTCAAGCTTTGACATATTTTGAACTTTTTGGCACTTGACTCTTTATCTTTTATTGGACATTTTACTTTAATTATTTTGTTTATATATCTTATATGATATTATATTGCAGATTATTGCTACTTATATTATATAATACATTATATTTTATGTATATTTTCAGAAGAGGGAACTACTGTCACAAAAACACTTTTCCCCCTGTATCATTATACTTTATTAATAATAATTCTGATTCAGATTAATAACAACTGCTGCCTTGACCTCTTTATAAAGAAATAATAATATAATATAATTGTATATTGTTATAAATTGAGTAGCTGTTGCGGCAGCTTTTCATAAGTAAGTTTTGAGTATGGTGATAAGTAGAGTTATTAAAGAACTCTGTGCCTAATGTAACCCCCCCCACCCCCTCCCTGCAGAGGCGGGTATCTCCAACTACCTGAACCAGACGGAGAAGTACAGCATGGGGGGCTCCACTGAGGGCCCGATCTACAGCACCATCGACGCCACCAACGAGGAGATGCACGGCTTCACCTACGCCCAGCACACCTCCCCCACCCCCTACGCCTCCACCTCCATCACGCCTTGCCCCACCCACACCCAGGGGTCCCACAACAGCGAGCAGCAGGAGGAGGGACACTGGATCCCCCAGCCCGGGCCCTCTGGGGCCCAGTATGCCCAGCCGGACCGCTGCACTGGTGAGGGCCACATCCTGCCAACGCACCCCCGCTTTATTAAGACGGACTAGCTTCGAATAATATCTATGTGGGATACTATATATTTTTTGATACACCATGAATGTTGGGGAAATATTCTCCTAGGCCCATAACTTTGACCCATTTTATCAGTTTGTTCTGCCCTCACTGAGCACAGGCCTGCAACCTTGGGCTGCTTTCAGGGTTTTGTCTCCCTGTTCCTGCCTGTTGGCGTCAGCTGATAGAGGTGTTATGGTTCTATAACACAGCACATGTCTTTGTCAATTCTCCGGCCAAAGCTCCAAATAAACCATCAGTGTTTGCCATCAAAGTTCCTGCTCTCCCCGAGTCTCTCTGAGTCCTGTCTCCATTGCACAAAGACTTTTGCTCTCACTCTTTGTCTGAATGAGCTTAGACATATTTCTACAGTGACGTCACCACGACAACGTTTCCTCTTCATATGACTCACTGTGTGTCTCTGTGTTATAGGTAAGCCCAAACAGAAGGCCATGGGTAAGGCTGTGAAGACCCCGTCTCTGACCTGGATGGAAGCGTTGCCCCCGCCCCCCCCCATCGGAGAGCTGGAACAGTGTGAGCCGGACGATCAGCCCCCGGAGCACGAGGACATGGACATAGGGTGAGTCAGCTTCCCTTCACACATCTTTATAAATTAGTATTACACTGCTGCACCATCTTTTACACTCACTGTCACCTATAACAGGCACATTAGGTATCGACCCCCTCCCCCCCTCGCTGCCTCTGGCTGTAACAACTCAATTACCTGGGCCTGGGTCAATAGCGTTAGTGATTAAACTGTTTTCGCCACCTCTGAAACACAATTTGCTGTGTTCCTCTTTCCATTCCCTCTCTGCAGACTCAGAGCACACATATTGTCCTGTAGCTCAGAGCAGAATCCCCCCCGAGTAAGAGCTGAGCCCCCTGAGGTTTAGCCAACGGCAAGACCCCCTAACTGAGCGGATGCTGAGAGAACAGAGTTAATGTTTGATCGCCTCAGAGTGGGTTAGGGTTGTGAAATGAGACTTTTTTTTTTTCTGAGAAGACTGTCTGACTATCATCCAGCTGTAACACTCCTCTCTATGGCTGTAGGTCGGATGAAGAGTGGTGCCCCCCCCTGCCAGAGAGGACCTATCTGATGGAGGGCTGCGAGGACGGACCCTCCCCCCTACACAGGAACACCGCCTCCTCTCCAGCCACCTCCTACAGTCACCAGTCCACCGCCACGCTCACCCCTTCGCCTCACGAGGAGCCCCGGGGCCCCCATGACCCCCCACACCTCAGCCAAGCAGACCAGCAGCTGTCACGGTATGTGAGGAGGCTCTCCAACCATGTGTTGACGTAGAAATCCAAAGTCACTCATGACCCTGAACTCTTCAAAACTCATTGGCTATACAGTACCGTGGTGTTCAGTGTAATGGTCATTGAGATGCAACACGTGAATACAGTTATTGTGAGGTTCAGATCAACCTGTAGACATGGAGAAATAATTCCATTACAGTAGATTATTCATGAATTTACAGCTCGCCCTGTCCTATTTTGTTCTATTTTTACATATATTACACATTTAAAGTAAGTGTATTCCCCTTAAAATAAAAACCTCAATATTACTGTTATAAATGAATAATTAAACTCACAAACCATACAATTCTTAATGTTATGCCTTAATTTAACTCGCCAATACACCCTTAATCTGTTTGAGCAGTAGGGTTAGGTTTCAAAGTGGCTGCTGTTTTATTAACACTGCTATTTATTATTTACAAATGCTAGGTTCCATATTCTCATTTCAATAATGCATGTGTACACTGTAGCTGCACTGTAGCTGCACTGTAGCTGCACAGTCATGTTCTCATATTCAGGAAAAACTATTGTAATTTATTTATTTGTTTTATTTTTAACCATAGTGGTCATTTTCCATTGTAAGCCAAATATTAAATCCTTTGGCCAAATGTTAACAATATATATTTTTGATTCATGTAGAATTTGAGTTTCCAGCAAAAGAACACTTAACACTAACCTATAAACGACTAACTAATGAATCCCTAACTACGACGTGCTGAGTAAAATCATAACAGAAACAGGGAACCAAACGGGATGAAAAGCACACACAGTTTCTATACCCCTGCTCTGTCTGACCCAGAGATGGTTCTGGTTCTGGGTCTCCTCTCCTCTCACGCTGCCTCTCCTCCACAGCAGAAGGTTGGCCTGTGGTCCGGTGCCAGTTCCCCAGGCCCCCAGCCCTCTGCCCCCCCCCTCCATCCCTAGCCTCTCCGGCCAGCAGCATCACGGCTCATCGGCGGCTGGCATGCTGCAGTGCCAGAGCCCCGCCCCCCGCGGTCCACACAGCCAGGGGCCCACGCTCAACCCAGACAGCGGCAGCACTACACCGGGTAAGGAGACAAGCCTGGAAAAACACACACATCAGAAAACAAGATAATAAAAGCTGAACATGCATGTGCTCTTTCACCCTGTGCTTACTCACTGTTTGTATTTTGAATCAAAAACCTTTATTTGTCTCACAGAGGTACATTTACATTGTTACAGCGAAAAAATAAAGAGCTGCAAATTGTTTAAAGATAAAAATTGAAATAACATAAATAACAATTAAAAAAAAAACACATCCAGTACAGTATTTCAAAATATAGTTTAGCATGTATTAAATAGTGTGATGGCAGCAAAGTGATAGTATTAAACGTGGAAGTATATATTCCACAATTATTTACAGATTTATTACAGAAGTTGAGTTGTCTAACTAAGCCAGTAATACTAATAACAATTACGAAGCAGTATATATATATATATATATATATATATATAATAATATTGCACAACAGGGGTGTTATAGAATATGGAGTATGCAGTGAATACATCAATCCCTCATGTCTATACTGTATATGTATAATAAACTCTAATTGATCTCCCCTCTCCTCATACAGTGCACAGTCGCTCCTCCCCAGCAGAAACCTGCACTCCCCCCAACCAAAAATCCAGAGTGAAGAAAAAGGTGTCCAAGAGTTCAGCTTACAGAAGAGATGCGCAAGGAGGTGAGTGGGCTTGGGTCTGGGTTTAAATATCTTCTCTCCAGTCAGAGGAACAATACCAGCTACATTTCTGTTGTCTCTAATATAGTAAAAGTTACATTACATTTCATTTAGCTGACGCTTTTATCCAAAGCGACTTACAATAAATCTATTCGACCAACAAGATACAAACTTGAAGAAAACAGAATTATTATAGAATCATTCACCATTTTGGAGCCAGGATAGCAAACCCACGTGTTTTTGCTGATGGGAACTTGGGTCCCCCTCGCAGTGCGGGTGCAGTGAGCTGTTTGGCTGATGCAGAGCGGAGTGCACGTGCTGGGGTGTACGGTTTAACCATGTCCTGGATGTAGGAAGGGCCAGATCCATTCGCAGCATGGTACACAAGTACCAGTGTCTTGAAGTGGATTCTAGCAGTTACCGGAAGCCAGTGAAGGGAGTGGAGGAGCGGCGTGGTGTGGGAGAATTTAGGAAGGTTGAAGACCAGACGAGCCGCTGCATTCTGGATGAGCTGCAGAGGTCGGATGGCACATGCAGGTAGACCAGCCAGGAGGGAGTTGCAGTAGTCTAAGCGTGAGATGACGAGAGCCTGGACCAGAACCTGCGTCGCTTTCTGGGTCAGCTGGGGACATATCCTCCTGATGTTGTAAAGCGTGTATCT